TTTTTAGAACTACATGTAAATTTATGTATTTAAAAATATATATACATATCAATAAAAAACATGTTTATATGCAAAAAAAAAAAAAAAAAAAAAACATATTTAATCATAAACTTGTTTATATATATATATATATATATATATATATATATATATATATATATATATATATATATATATATATATGTTTCTTGGAAATTCAAATGTATTATTTAGAATTATTAATATGTATTTTAGAAGCACAAATATTTAATTTTACGTTTTATGAGTATATACATATATTTTCCAAAGTTTAAATATGTATTTTTATATATTTTTTAAAAGTATAGATATATTTTTAGTAGTTTGGATACATATTAATATTTCTAAAAATATAAAATTATATATTTTTATTTCTAAAAGATATATCTAAAATCTACGTATTCATAATCATTATAACTAGTATAACAATGCAAACACACACACACACAAACACACACACACACACATATATATATATATATATATATATATATATATATATATATATGTAAAGAAATAAAATTAAAAAAAAATGTGAATACGATTTTTAATTAAATATGATTTTTCTACATGAATATGTATAATATGAAAAAAATTACTTAAGGTAAAAGTTTAAATAAATAGAAACTTAAAGGTAAATTCATAAAATTTAAATTTAAGCAAAACCGAGAAAGTTCTGAAAACTAAATTTTTTTATGTTGTTAATTCTAGTTGCAAAACCCAATGTTTGTTTTAACATCTTTGTAATTGTTTTTTTTTTCTCCGATCACTAGGATTAGGAAACCCAGCTGTTTCAGTATTATAAATATTTCAAAATGATTAAAAAGATCATGAATAAATGTCACTCTAATAATATATAATAATGGTAAGATTTTTATGTCGAGAAGAATAACATTTTTTTTAAATATAAGTATCATTTTTTTTTTGAATAACCATGGTTAGTATCCCTTTTCATAAAACAATGTATCTAGATAAAACATTGTATTGTTTACTAAACATAGGCAAAGATTATGTTTTGCATGCACCAATTAGCTTATCGGTTAATTTATTTTTAGAGTGCATATTTAGCAAACTAAAAACTAATTTATAAGTTAAGATTAGTGTTTCAACGAGCTTATTAATTTTTGTTTAAACAAAAACTCAAAAAATTTGTTAAACATTACTTTTTATGACTTAGTTTTATTAATAAAAAACTCGGTTTATTAATTATATGTTTTCATAATTATAAAAGTAAAACCGAGTTTTTTACATGACTTACTTGTTATTTTATAAATATTTCTGTTAGTTTATCAAATAGTTTACTAAATATAATTTTTTTATCAATTAACTTACATGTTATTTTATAAATATTTCAGTAAGTTTATCAAATAGTTACTAAGGGGGTGTTTGGGAAAACTTTTTAAACTTAAAAGATCTTTTTGTAAAAGTTATTTTGAGGAAACAAAAGCCAAAAGTAAGTTTTTAAAAGTGTTTGGGTACTATTTTTTTACTTTTAAGTGTGATTTAACTTTAAAAGTTCAAAAGTTATAAAAAATCACACTTTCTTGACTTTGGAAAAATCACCATTTCCTTCTTTACAAAAAGTTATTTTGAAAAGAACTTTTGTATCATCCAAACATCTTTATATCTTTTTTCGAAAAATTAAAAGATAAAAATCATTTAAAAAGTTTTACCAAACACCCTTTAAACATTATATTTTATCAATTAACAAATAGCTTGTCATGAATCAAATAATATTTGTTTTTCAACTAATCTACTGAAAATAATCAAAATCATTAACAAGTCATTTTCACTCTAGAAGTCTGAAATAGTTTGCGTATTGCTATTACTTGTTAGAAAAAAGGATTTGACCTTTTGTTTTGTATTTTATCTATATAATAACTAGTTTTTATCAAATAACTAACATCAATGGCCGAATATAATAGAATCGGAGGAATTGGAATCAAGTTACTAACACATTCTACTATTTGATTTAATTTTTTTGAGATAAACTTGAATTCGTAAATGAAAACTTTTCCACCAAATTAATGAAATGAAAGCGAATTTCTTCAAAGTTTAGATGAATTTCTACACAAAGCATATGTATGCTATTGAATCCTCAAAAAAAAAAAATTCTACACAAAGCATATATATTCTATTGGATTTTCTTATACTTGTGCTTGCTGTTTTTCTGATAATCTTTCTACATATCAGTATCTTCAAAAAAAGTCTGCTGCTACCTGTTCCTACATGAGAGGTCGAACATTTTTTTAGTTTTATACGATTAGGACTCAAAGTTGTAATTGGTTTTTTTTTTGTTGGTAATTGATTCTGAAAGGCTAATTGTATTTATATGTGCAATTTTTATCGGTTGTGAAGTCGATGCTGATTATTTAATTAGAATCGTTTAGGACATTGGTTGGCTTAATTTAAGCTTGTCTTTCATATGTATAACACATAGTTATAGTATCTGACTTTTTATTTGCTTTTGCATATTAGTCCCTTCATTAGTGTTCCAATTTTTTAAATGGATGAAAACTTTTGTTCTTAATCACCAAACTAACAATATCTTTACTTATTTGGAGAATTGAAGTGAGAGTATGTCGTTTATTTATATATTGATTAACAATTTGATGACAAAATGTATTTTTGATTCAATAGATATTATTCATCTTAATTAAAATCTTTATCAAGTTCGTGAATTAGACAATCAATCTTTTGGATGTCAAGTTCCATGTATGGGTATAAAAATTGAACCGATTATTGAGTTTTCTGATTTTTTCCAGGTATGTATTTGTATCCGGTCTTATTTCTTCAATAAATGATTCTGTTGTGGAGAAAGGTATTCCTAAAATTACAACAATTGCCCTTTCCTTTCATCTGAAGTGAGGAAGTTAATGATTTTCCTTTACTTGTTCATGATCGTTTTTAGTGAGACAGAGATTAATATAATGAGGCTTCTTCCTAAAATTACAAAAAGGTATTTATTTTTGTTCAAAACTTTTTTCAATTTATTGATTCTTGTTCGTATATTATAATAGAATAACATTATGTATATAAGAATTGTTTTCTAAATTTAAAACCCTTTCTGAGTTTGATGTTTTTGTGTTATCTACTGTGTTTTTTTTTGTAACGATTCTAGTAGAAACGTAAGCAAGGTGTTGAAAACCAACATCTTTAAAGAATATGAACTTAGTAAAGCTTCTAATATGAACTATTATGCAATAATGTAACATTGTTATTTTTTATATCAGTATATTCTATCAAAATTACTACAGTTTGTTTTTATTATGTGTCATATTAAATCATTCTCACATATTTTTATTCTACATAATTCGATTTGCAGTTATTTTCATAGAATGTGTGGAGGGAATGTGATAATCAAAGACTTTAATGTATGGTGCATGAGATATGATGAACAATGGTAATAAATCTTCCAAAAAGAATACATTATTAATCGTTGAATTTTGACAGAATAATCGACGATACAACAATAAGATATATATATATAATAGTATATTTTGATAGAATATTCAAGCATAATATATATATATATATATATATATATATATATATATATATATATATATATATATATATATATATATATGGTTATTAGAGTGTGTTCTATTATAATAAATTGTTATTCTTCAAAAAGTTCTATCAATCAAAATATATATTCTGCCACAACATTTATTATTTTATGGTTCAATAATATTGTTATTTTTTAACATACTCATAAATATATTCTGGCCGAATGCCAGAATTAAAAAAATTATCATCCATAAAATCAGATTTTTAAAATTAATATAATCCATGATCCTTTAACATATACAATTTTCCTTTATTAAATCTATCTTAATTGACCAAAATACCATTGCAATTAAATTAGATGGTATTTATCAATTAACTTTAATTTAATAATATATATTAATTACTTTTTTAAAATAAGTTAAATGATTGATTCATAATAATTCCTACATCTACACAATAATTAGTAAGAATATAATAACATAAGTATATATATATATATATATATATATATATATATATATATATATATATATATATATATATAGTGAAAAGTGAATATACCATTAAGGGTATATAAGCTTAGGTACCCAAACCTACCATAATACATCATTTTGTTTGATATAATCATTATAATGTCTTAAACTTCAACCCCTAACTTGATTTACTTTCAAGATTTTTGAAATTTCACTATTATCTTCCTCTTACATCACATATGTATGCCGAAGACCTACTAAGCTATATATATTATAGTTAAAAATGAAAATTATGTAAAATGAAGATAAATGTAAAATTTATAAAAATCTTGGAGTTAGATCAAGTTAAAAGTTGAATTATAAGAACATAGGACAATTACAATGTGTATATATGATATAAAACGATATAATATGGTGAGTTTAGGTACCTAAGCTTATATACCCTTAAGGGTATATTCACTTTTCCCATATATATATATATATATATATATATATATATATATATATATATATATATATATATATATATATATATATATATATATATATATATATTAGTTTCAACTAGCATCCAAATTAAGAAATTAAAGTCAAAGATCATTAGAGTCTAATTGACAAAATAAACGGAAAAAACACTCATTCTTTATGAATCAGGTCGTGTAACTTTATCTATCTAGTATTATAGTACCAAAGTTTAAAGAAATTTAATGAAGTTGGTAAATGGTCAACTTGATGTAATTAATAAGGTAATTATCCTAAATATGTTTACATGAAAAAAACATAAGATAGCATACTTGTGAAGCAATTAATCATTGATTGAAAGTGGTATAGGTCATCGGTACACCAACTTAATTTGAAAAATAATGTCCATCGAATCTAAGTATCTCACTATCAAACTCTAAACATCCGAAAACCTACTGTGCCTACCTCAAACAACCCCCATTTTCATCATCTTCCCTATATAAACAATCATCATTCATTTCAATTCTTACAACTCATCCACCAAAATGGCTCACTCAACCATCATGTTCTTAACCACATTCTTGCTGTTCTTTTCAAGTTTAGCATTTGCTAAAACTCACTACCATGATTTCGTTGTATGTGTGCCAAATTCAATCTTTTAATATTTCTTGAATATGTACAACTTTTTATACTAATTATTTGTCATGAAAAATAGGTTCAAGCCACAAAAGTGACACGACTATGCAAGACCCGTAGTTCGATTACGGTTAATGGGCAGCTGCCCGGGCCGACCTTGGAAGTTAACAATGGTGATAGTTTAGTGATAAAGGTCGTCAATAAAGCTCAATACAATGTCACCATCCATTGGTATATATAAAATGTTCTTTTTATTAATAAAAACTATTTATACGTTATAATTTTAATATAACACTTGATAAATGGTACCTTTGGTAAAAAAAAATCCAGGCATGGTGTTAGACAGATTAGGACAGCGTGGGCAGATGGGCCTGAATTTATTACTCAGTGCCCGATTAGACCGGGTGGAAGTTATACGTATAGATTTATGATTTCGGGACAAGAGGGAACGTTATGGTGGCATGCACATAGTTCATGGCTTAGAGCTACTGTTTATGGTGCTATTGTTATTCGCCCTAAAGAAGGAGATTCTTATCCATTTGCTAAACCAAACCGTGAATCGGTTATTGTTCTTGGTATGTTACTTTATAACTTAATTATATATCAATTTACATTTTAAGAAAGTAGGTTACTTAATTGGGGTTATAATAATAATATGATAATGATGATGATTAGGTGAATGGTGGAATGCGAATCCGATTGATGTTATAAGGCAAGCCACAAGAACCGGAGGAGCTCCGAATGTTTCTGATGCGTATACCATCAATGGTCAACCCGGTGATCTATATAGTTGCTCGAAAAAAGGTTTGCTTCTATAACTAAAAGAGAACAAAAACTTTAACGAATCTTGATTTCGAATGTGGTAAAATGGTATAATAGTATAAACGACAAATGATTTTACAATAAATGGACAGTGTAGCAGGTTCAGTTACAATGTCAATTGAGTTCATTGTAAATACTGATATTCGCATGATAGACTACTGTATCTGATTTAATCTCACATAATACTCTCACAACATATGTAGATATTACAGCCGACGATTTCATCTCACTTGATGCTCATGCAACATAACTTGTCTAGGAAAAAAAACAAATTTGAAAAGCCTACATATTAATAAGTTAATATAATTAAAAAAACCTACTTTTTTTCATTTGTATCAAAAAAATAATTTGCTCTTTTTCTTTTTAAATGTATTAGATACTTTTATAGTGCCAATGGGATCCGGAGAAACAAACCTCATTCGCGTGATTAATGCAGCATTAAATCAACAACTCTTCTTCACCATCGCCGGCCACAAACTCACCGTCGTCGGAGCTGATGCTTCTTACGTAAAACCCTTCACTACTTCCGTCCTCATGCTTGGACCCGGTCAAACCACCGACGTACTGATAAAAGGAGACCAACCACCACGTCAATACTACATCGCCGCCCGTGCGTACGCTAGTGCACAAGGTGCACCATTTGACAACACCACCACCACCGCCATCTTAAATTACAAAACTACCGCAACCTCCGCCGCTTCAAATTCAAACCCAATAATGCCTAGTCTTCCACCATTCAACGACACAAAAACCGCCACCGCCTTCACCACCAGTTTCAAAAGCCCGGGAAAAACCTTAGTTCCGACCACAATCGATGAGAATCTGTTCATCACCGCCGGACTTGGAATCAATCAGTGTCCGAAAAATGCCAATAGTAATACATGTCAAGCTCCAAATGGGACACGATTCACAGCGAGTATGAATAATGTTTCGTTTGTGCTTCCGTCTAATTACTCGCTGTTGCAAGCGCACCACCATGCGATTCCCGGAGTTTTCACTACGGATTTTCCGGCGAAACCTCCGGTGAAGTTTGATTATACAGGGAATGTGAGTAGGTCGCTTTGGCAACCGGTTCGTGGGACGAAGGTGTATAAGTTGAAATATGGAGCGAGGGTTCAGGTGGTGTTACAGGGGACGAGTATATTTACAGCTGAGAATCATCCGATTCATCTCCATGGATATGATTTTTATGTTGTTGCAGAAGGGTTTGGGAACTTTGATCCGAAATCTGATACTGCTAAGTTTAATCTTGTGGATCCGCCTCTTAGGAATACAGTAAGTTTACCGGTGAAAGGGTGGGCTGTGATTAGATTCGTTGCAGATAATCCAGGTAAAAAAATGTGAAAAAAACACCGATATTTGATCTGAAATTTCAAAGAAATGTTTGATGAATCTTGTTTGTTTGTTTGTTTACTCAGGTACTTGGATTATGCATTGTCATTTGGATGTTCATATTGGATGGGGTTTGGCTATGGTGTTTGTGGTTGATAATGGTGTTGGACAACTGGAGACGCTAGAACAACCACCGGAAGATCTCCCTGTTTGTTGATATGATCATCTTTAAGCTCAAAATCATCATGTAGCATTATAGTTATGTAAAATTATATGGTTTTCAATGCTATTTTGTCCCCAAATTGCGGATGTATAATTTTTCCTTTATCCAATTTGTTTCCCTGTTTCCAATGTGTTGGTAGATGATATACGGTGTATTGGTGTAATGTAGAATCTGAAACTCAAAGCAAATGAAAGAATAGTTCGCTTTATTATTGCTGAATCTTATGTCATCTTACATTGAATCTTTTAATTTGGGGCAAGTTATCTTGTTGAAAAAATTGCAAAAATGGTTGATGGTTTCTTATTTTATGTGGTTATGGTCCAAACGTTTGAAAAAGTTGTAGATTTGGCCTTTTCAACAAGTTTTATTGTGGTTTTGGTCCCTCATCCGTTAAGTTTAACTGATTGGCTGTTAATTTTTTAAAATAAAATTTTTATCCCCAGAGACCATTTTTGCAGTATTATCTTTCACCATACCATAAGGACCATTTTTATATACATTTTTATTTTATTTTATTGAAGTATTATATATTAATAAATATTATTTTTAATATATAATATTATATATTAATAAATATTGTTTTATTGAATTATTAATTTATTATAATCGATTTTTTTTCAAAATTTTTTATTAGAGTAACTCTTTTTATTATTATATATCAATACATATAATTTTTAATATATAATATTTATATCATAATAAATATTATATTATTGGATTATTAATTTCTTTTAGTTAATATTTTTTATTTTTTTTAAATTATTTTTATTGGATTATTTCTTTTATTTCTTTTAATTTATTATTTTCTTTATATACTAAATATTGTTTTATTGGATTATTAATTTATTTTAGTTAATTTTTTTTTAAATCGTTGAAATAATTATTTTTTTATTGAATTATTATTTATCAATACATATAGTTTTTAATATATAATATTTATATCATAATAAATATTATATTATTGGATTATTATTATCTTTTAGTTAATTTTTGTATTTTTTTAATTATTTTTATTGGATTATTACTTTTAATTTATTATTTTCTTCATATACTAAATATTATTTTATCGGATTATAATAATAGTTCTTGTTAATTTTATTGGTTTCACCACAAAGTCATGGGATACGCAAAATCATCGTCTTTCATCATCGAAATCGTTAGGATCATTACCAAACACTTTCATTTCATCTAGCTTATAATGAGAAACCATTGGGAAATACCACCACCATCACTCGGTCACCACCACCACTTATGAAGGTTATCGAGGTTTGTTGCGTATTATGTGAGATATGAAGGATTCCAGTGAATTATGAAGAGGTTGTCGCAGGTGGCTACCAACAACGCTGGGTAGAATAGGGTATGATATCTATTGAACCTCCGATGAAGGTGTTTGGAGGTGATCCTGCTAGGGGTGTTCGTTTGGATGGATCAACTTGATTCAATCCAATCAAGTGAATCCAAATTGATTTCGGTTTTCAAAACATGGATCCAAATAGTCCAAACTAAATTCAAATCCGATCCAATTACAATTCGGTTGGATAAGTTTTTATAATTCGGTTTTTAAAAACTAAAACATTTTAAAATGTCATAATTATAATATTACTGAATTTTAGACAAGAAACAAAAACAAATTATTTAGTTACGATTTGAAATTTATAAACAACTATTAAGAAAGTATATTATATTTTAATATTTTATAGATAAATTTTTTTTGAAAGAAAATGCATATTAATATTTTTTATTAGGTGAAACTTTTTGAACATATTTCAAAAAATAAATTACAAAATTAATAAATACTTATAGATATATATTAAAAATAAATAAATAATAAACTGTTATTCGGTTTTTTTGGACTATTCGGTTCTTATTTTATAAATCATAACCAATCCGAAATCCAAAATAATAATTCGGTTTTGTCGAAAACCAATCCAAAAATTCAAATACCGAACCAAATAGTCCAATCCGAATTGTCTAATTGGACAATTCGGTTTTATCTAAATACGGAACAACCCTAGATCCTACTAATTTTTGACGATGATAATCAACACTTTTACGTATTTCGGCGATTTTGTGGTGAAACTAATAAAATTAAAAACAATTAATAGTATACATTCAAAATAAAATAATAATCCAATAAGATAATATTTATATTAAAAAAAAATTAAAAGTAATATTTCAATAAATTAATAATTCAAAAAAAAAAAAAAAAAACAAAAATTAATAATCCAATAATGTATTATTTATTATGATGTAAATATTATATATTAAAAATAATATTTGTTTATATATAATAATATAATAAAAGAGAATTGCTCCAACAAAAAGAAATTATAAAAAGAGTCAACCAAAAGAAATTAATAATCAAATAAAATAATGTTTCGTAATATGTAATAATCTCATAATATAATATTTATTATGGTATAAATATTATACATTAAAAAATATATGTATTGATATATAATAATGACAAAACTTCAAAAATGGTTCCTGTGGTTTTCGAAAATATCAAGTTTAGTCCTTAAGTTCAAAAAACCTCACAGATGGTCCCTATGGTTTCAAAACTTTTAACAAATGGTCCTTCCGCCTAACTTCGTCAACTTTCTACCGTTAAGTGAGGGGCATTTTTGTCATTTCACAACTACAGGGACCATTTATGAGTTTTTGCCTTAATTTTTTTAAAAAAAGAAAAAGAAAAATAATTATTTAATATTAAAGAGCCTCTCTCTCTCTCTCTCTCTCTCTCTCTCTCTCTCTCTCTCTCTCTCTCTCTCTCTCTCTCTCTCTCTCTCTCTCTCTCTCTCTCTCTCTGAGTATGGATTATCTATTTCCTTCAAGCAACAACGACACTTTATTGACCTCTTCAAACAAGGAAGCAAATAATGAAAATCTTGATTCAAACCATGACCAAGAGGCTGCGTTGTTTGGGCAGTTTCCGTTGCCTTTCCTTGATGAGATATCTACTAGCCTAATAATCCAAAACCACCAACTGCATCACCTTAGCACCGATAAATCAAAAACGTCCACAAACAGCACTGCAAACGAGCCTCCACCGCCACCATCACCTGGTAAAACAAAGCGTGCAAGGAAGAAAAGAAGTGTTGGGAAAATATATGTGTATTTAGGAGACCAGAGTAAGTTTGCGATTGTCTCTCCATATTCCAGAAAATCATGATTTTTGGGTTAATCTGTATATGTCTTCTTTTCTCATAATCCCAATAGAAAATATATGTGTATTTGGTTCAGCTCAAATTCTGATGCCAGCTAGAAGAGAAAACACATATTCTATGGTGAATTTATTAAGTTGCACATCAACTGTTCGTCAAAATGCACATCAACTGTTCGTCAAAATGCACATCAACTGTTCGTCAAAATGCCTCCATAAAGCTATCGCCATGATTTCTTAACTTTTTTACCTCCTTCCATGTCTCCACCTCTTCCTCTAAAAAAACTCATCTTCCCACATCAACATCCTGTTAAATTAACCAGAAATCAACATGAACAGTTTAATCCCAAGCTTGGTTTCATTAGAAACGGAGTTGCTGAAAGGTTCAAAAACAGGGGATGAAGACGAACAAGAAGATGAGCTACTGGATGAAATTTGAGGGAAAAGAAAATCAGAAGTCTCCACACTGTGTGAATCATTATCGGGGAGACCATAGTAAGTTTGAAGGAAGGATAGATCATCGATTAGAAGGTGGTGACGGATGAGGTCTAAAGATGAAGATTGATCAGGGGACGCCATTGATGAGCAAAGGTGAAGAAGATTAAAGAGATGGGTTTATTGAATCGAAGGAATCCTTGAGTGGAAAAGATGGAGTGAAATGGTAGTGATATATATAACGTAAGAATGGTCACTGGATAGACTTTGACTACTAAAGAAATAAGAGAAGATAGAGACATGTACATTGAGGAGGGAGAGAGGGGGGTTCGCCGATGGTGAGAGGATTTGTGACGATGACACAAATTCAACACTCATTATATTGAGAGACCCTTTAATATTAAATAATTATTTTTCTTTTTCTTTTTTAAAAAAAATTAAGGCAAAACATCATAAATAGTCATCGTGGTTGTGAAATGATGAAAATGCCCCTCACTTAACGGTAGAAAGCTAACGGAGTTAGGCGGAAGGACCATTTGTTATAAGTTTTGAAACCACAGGGACCATCTGTGATGTTTTTTGAACTTAGGGACTAAACTTGATATTTTCGGAAACCACAGGGACCATTTTTGAAGTGTTGTCTATAATAATTTAATAAAAAATAATTACTTCGACAACAAAATTAAAAAAAATAATTAACTAAAATAAATATTTAATCCATTAAAACTACATTTAATATATGAAGAAAATAATAAATTAAAAGTAATAATAAAATAAAAAAAGTAATTTAAAATTACAAAAATTAACTAAAAAAAATTAATAATCCAATAATATAATATTTATTATGATATAAATATTATATATTAAAAACTATATGTATTGATATATACTAATTTAATAAAAAAGAATTACTTGAATTTTTTTTTTTAAATCAACTAAAATAAATTAATAATCCAATAAAAATATTTATTAATATGTAATATTATATATTAAAAATAATATCTATTAATATATACTACTTCATTAAATTAAAAAAGAATATATGCATAAATGGTCCTTATAGTATAGTAAAAGATAAAACTGTGAAAATGGCCCCTAGGGGTAAAATTGTCATTTTAAGGAACTTAACGGATGAGGGACCAAAACCACAATAAAACTTGTTAAATAGGATCAAATCTTCAACTTTTCAAACATTTGGACCGTAACCACATAAAACGAGAAACCACAAGGACCATTTTTGCAGTTTTGTCTATCTTGTTCATCTTCAATTGGGAATTGTAGTAGTCGAACAGTTGACTCTGCAAACACAATTTGTTTATAAAAACATGTTATGAGAGCTTTTTTATTTAGCATATATTGGAAATCAATGTAACCCCACAATCGAAATTTTTTTCAATTTTATGTTTTGATTGTGTAGTTGTGATTCTACAATTGGTTAAAAAAATATGGATGCTGGCCATTATATTATTGAAAAACATTTTCAATAAGGAAAAGAAAAAAAATTACAAAACTGATCTCTGTGGTATGCAAATTTTTATGGTTTTAGTCCAAACCATAAGTTTTTTTGGATTCATGGTCCTTTTAGAGTGGTTTGTATGTGAAAATAATCCCTCCAAAAATTGAAATGACTATAATATCGTTGCGGTATTTATTTTTCATTTTTCTTAAAATTTAATATTTATTTATTTATTTTAACAATTAAAAAAATAATAGAGGACTCACCTCTCTCTCTCTCTCTCTCTCTCTCTCTCTCTCTCTCTCTCTCTCTCTCTCTCTCTCTCTCTCTCAAATCGAGCAAACACTAGACACAAGTCTAGATTAGAAAAGAAAATCAAACATCAAAACTTTATGTTCCAGATCTGCTATAAATGAACCTGGTTTATGTTCGATATGGGTTTCTTAAAAATAAAGGGGATCGAAATCAAAGTTATGTGAACGATTTTAGATTTAAAATCGATTTTAGTGTGTGTCTTCTTGAATCAATTTAATTTATGGGTTCATGTTTTTGGAGTTCTAGGTTTTTTGTAGTTTGTTCTGCCCTGCTAATATACACCTGGAAAGCCATCATTGACTGCACAATATTTGAAGAACACATTAGGCGTTGGGTTGAAGGTGGGGGTAATGGAGTGTGGAGGTCTGTTTCAGACGTCTTCTCCAGCAACATGTGGTTGATCTCAATCTTCTATTTCGACGACATGTGGTTCCTCTTGCCCACTCTCTCTGTTACCCTCACTCCTAGATATGCACCATTTATACACCATCGGTGGTTTGTGGTGTTCTTCAGGTTTCAGATTTGAGGTTTGGATATCGATTGAAACCTTTTCGCTGAAAACAAGATTTTGTCCACCTCTATTTATTGTGTTTGTGGTGATGGATTTTTCAGGGTTGGTAGTGAGGGTAATTTTGACATAAACATCTTGTTTGTGGTATATGCAACTGTTTGAATGTTCTAGCTTGATGAATGTGATATCAAGAACACCAAGGGATGGATCGGAGTTGTAGGTTAGATTTTAAGTATCTGGGTTTGAACCTTCATCATATGGGTTTCAAAATTCTAATCGATTCAACAAGCCTATTCCTGTTTTAATCGTGTAAATCGAGGTGGGATTTGAAGTAAGGTGGTAGATTCTTTTTAATTTCAGTTATCATGCTTAGATTTAAGTTAGAATTTGAGTTGCAAGTTAGATTTTAAGTTTAAGCTTTTGGTTTTGATTTAAGGTTAGAGAATTAGATTTCAACAATGGTAGCGGATGTCATGATTGGTTGTTGTTGGCGGAGGTGAACTGTGGTGCTTGTTGGAGGTGAACAATGGTCATGTTTAGAGGTGAACGGTTTCTGGAGATGATTGAAAAGAGGTTGTCAGAGTAGGTGAACGATGGAGGGGAAGGAGATTATGGGTAATGGTGGAACCATATATAGAGGTGGCAGACGGTGGTAGCGACAGACTAAGGTGGTGGCAGACAGTGGTGGAGGCGGAAGGTGGTCAAAGGGTGGTGGTGGTGGCGGATGGTGGTCAAAGGGTGGTGGTTGTGGAAGATATTCTTAAGTTCATGAATATGTCCTCGAGATTTTGAAGATGTGTTCCTGAGATTATGAAGGTGTTCTTCGGTGTTGGGAGAGAGAGAGAGAGAGAGAGAGAGAGAGAGAGTGAAAGTGAGCGAGTGAGTGAGTGGTGGGTCCTCTATTATTTTTTTTTAATTGTTAAAATAAATAAATAAATATTAAATTTTAATAAAAATGAAAAATAAATACCCCAAGGGTATTATAGTCATTTCATTTTTCGGAGGGACTATTTTCGCATACAAACCACTCCAAAAGGACCATGAATCCAAAAAACTCGTGGTTTGGACTAAAACCCCAAAAATTTGCATACCATAGGGAGCATTTTTGCAGTTTTGTCTAAGGAAAAAAATAGTTATCCAACAATTTCCATGTAAAAGCTTTAGTTTGAAAAGCTCAAATAGCCCTTTATTACTCAAGAATTTTTTGGTTTGAAAAAAAGGTTATTATCGTTGTAGTCCAATAAACTTTAGTATATTGGTTTAAATGGTCCCTCGTGACTATTTTTTGCATTTAAATGGCACAAACTTGTATTTTTAGGTTTAAAAATGTCATTTTGGAAAATTTGAAGAGGTCACCCGGTGACACCTATCCTGATCAGTAGGTTTAGATGCCAACTCAATTGCCATGTGTAACACATAATGTAATGATTTCTTTAGAACCTGAATCCGATCAAATCTCTTACTGTCTTTCATCTTCACCTACTCTGATGTTGTCTTCTTTGGCTCTGGCAGTGGCCTTGATGTTGACTCCGGTAGAATCGAACACCAAGCATAGAGTTCGATATGGTGAAGATTGATTGAAGGCTTAGTGTGGATGGGATGCATTCCTTCTTTTTCCAGGGTTAGGAAAACTCGTCATTGTTTTTTGTTCAAACAAAAACCCATATCGTTCTTTTGGTTAAAAACCAAGTTCATCCATTTTTTAATAGTTATTAAATAGATCTAGAGAGAGAAACTAATGAAGATGAAGACTAGTGAAGATGAAACTGATGTTACCTCGATGAAATCGAACCCCAATCGATTTTGCTACCCCTTTCCTTCACTAACCATTGCCATCTTCGTCTTCAAGGATTCACCAACCATTGTGATGAGTAATTTTGTCTGTTAGAACTAAACTTGTTTATAAAATCAAAATGTTTGCTTGGAATCAGTATCTGAAATCGATTTTCTACGTCGAAATGTTTCTTGAAATTGGTTTCTAAAATCAACATGTTTGTTTGAAATCGGCATATGAAATCGATTTATTAAATCAAAATGTTTGCTTGAAATCAGTTTCTGAAATCATTTTTTTCTAAGATGTTTGCGTGAAATCAATTTGAAAATCAAATTGTTTTCTTGAAATCGATTTCTAAAATCCTAAAGTACTCTTTTCTTCCATAGGAAATGGATGTCAGTGAAAGCGTCAAAGATGACCAAGGTACCAGTTGATTAACATCTATAATCTTCTTATCAACTAAATATGTTTCATCTTCATCTCTTTCGTAATCATCGTCAAAACTGAAACATCCCAAA